CCACCTTACCAGTCAGCAGGGGTATAAGATGAAAAACCCAGTCGCACTCAGGCCATCGACATGCTGCTGCAATTCGCTCAAATGTAACCAAAAAATTTTCAATATCATCCCTGTCTGAAAGCTTTTCCAACCTAGGTGTATGATGAAACTGAGACCGACCTGCTGAAAGTTGAGATGATGCAACATTCTCCAAAGGGGAAGCTACTTTAACCTGTAGTCCACCACTTAAATCAGGTGGTTCTAAATCCACTGGCTCACACTCTACAGGTGGAGAATCAGGAACAGGAGTTGTACATGCCTGTACCTCTAGCTGTAATAGCTGGAACTGATGTTGTAATGCTTTAAAACGCTGTTCTTGCCGTGCACTCTCTTCCTTCCGTTGAGCTTCCCGGGCCTCCTGCTCACCCATAAGAGTCTGGAGAATTGCATACAGGTCTGAGATTTTTGGTTCTCTACCTTCATCCACACTGCCATCTGTGTCACTCACTGGACAATCCCACCACTGCCACCAAATGTCAGGGACCAAGCAGTAAGGCAAAAGACACAGCTTTCAAAGTTAAAAAATGGGCTTTTTTATCAACCAAAAGTAAGGAAAAATGCAAACATTAACATCTGATAAATTGGACCCTAAAAGAGGTCAACAAAAGATAAGGAAACTCAAAATACAGCAAACCAAACTGTCTGATACCTCAACAAAAACCAACTGACCTAACAAGTGACACGCACAGGGGAACATATATATTGGCTGGCCAAACCAATAACACACACAAGGGGTAGACTAAACACACTACCAAAATAATCAACTAATAAACACTAAACAGACAGTCTGCTCACAACTAAATATTTCCTTTAAATGTGAAGAAATGAACATAACTTGACAAATAAACAATACATTTCTCCCAAACTCCCCCTTCCTTATATTAGGCACTTGGTGCAGTCCAGGCCTAGTGGTAAACACACTACCAAAATAATCAACTAATAAACACTAAACAGACAGTCTGCTCACAACTAAATATTTCCTTTAAATGTGAAGAAATGAACATAACTTGACAAATAAACAATACATTTCTCCCAAACTCCCCCTTCCTTATATTAGGCACTTGGTGCAGTCCAGGCCTAGTGGGAAGTATTTAAACCTGCTGCTTCCTCAGATCAATCTTTTGGCTGAAGACCCCCCGCATCCATGGACCAGGAAACACGGTAACTCAAAAGAAAATTTACACATTAACAATACAAAATTAAATCAAATGTGCATGCTCATTGATCAATTGTGTATGTCTAATATCAAAAAATATTTATCTGCAACTTAACCTACACACATAAAGAAATAGCCACCCAAATCCATTGCTGGTGGTGGTTTAGGCCCTCACATGGTGACGGCCAGGACAGAGGCCCACACACAAGCATACAAGGAATTTATCTTGGTGTTTGCTCCCACTCAACAAATTAAGAACACCACAACCACACATAGATCGCAGACAATCAAATTAATTTGGCAGAAAAAATAAAAACAGGATAAAAACCACTGCAATATAATAAAGTATCAAGTATAAAAATAATATATAAATCAAAATCCATGACAACGGTTACTAAGATGAAATAAATAAGTGAAAAATGAAAAATAAGATAAAATAAACAAACATAAAAGCATCTCAAAAGGACCAAGAACTTGTCTTAAATTAAAACTGGAAAATAAAATGTCAAGGAGGTACTACTTAGTAGTCTGATAGCTTCAGGATGAGTGTCAGTCTTAAGCTGCTCAGTTTTAAATTTAACATGTCTGAACCTTTAGGCTTTTTTAAAGTTAGCATTATCTATTAATAAAAATTAACAAAGATGGAGACTCACTGTCCTCCAGGAAGCTGTGTCCATAGTCGTCCTTTACATCCTGAGGCAATCGGTCCCAGAGCTTCCTCAGGTTATTCATCATACTCGCTGCATCAGTCATATTTGTTGCAAAGAAGCCTGGTTCAATGCAGGCAACCTTAATTCCAAATGGTGCCATGTCTATACTGAAATACAGAAGAGGTTGCTGTAAGTTAAAAAGATAGTTAGGAGAATAACAATAAATGTAAAGCATGAAAACGTCTTTCCTCTCACCGCAGGCTGTCATTGAAAGCCTCTACCCCGTATTTGGACACACAGTACGGTCCGCCGAACGGGCTGATTCGCCCAAACACGCTAGCGACGTTCACCACCCTGCCTCTGGCCTTCTTAATAAGAGGGAGGACGCTCAGGGTCACATCTATGACCCCACACAGGTTGACAGCCAGCGTGGACTTGTAATCGTCTATAGTGAGCCAGTCAGTGGGACCAGATGACAAAGACACTCCAGCGTTGTTCACAACAGCCCACAGGCCTAGTGGAAGAACAAGATGAGAGCAGTAACACCCACATGCACAGCACTTTGCCATCACCTGGAAGTGGAATGACTCCTTCTTGTTGAGAGTTAGATAAGTTGGTTAGCATAAAGATTGCTAACAGGAAAAACAAAGCTAAGAACTAACAGTACCGTTGAGCTCAGTAATTAACAGCTATTCTGTGTGTTTTATCTGGAGGCTGTGCGCTGGAGAGTTTCTTGGCAAGGAGCAGTGATTAAAATAACACCATAAAACAACTAGATGAGAATGGTATTGGAGATGTACATACATTAAAGCTAGATATGTCAGCGATCAATTAGCCGACCTGACGATGCCTATTCTGATGTTGACTAGGCTGTAGTTTGCTGTAATACCTACTTACAAATGAAAGCACTTCCTTAAAGAAACAAGTGGCAGTACATACTGAACTACTTCTTAGCCTGTTAAAGTACATGGCTGCCCCGGAGACAGGTCACCAGCTGAGCAGGTATTTCCAGCCTCTCTACTGTCAACAGCAAACGCATAGTCTCATGTTATGCCAGGGGTGTCAGTTTTTATATTCAGCACTCCTATAGAAAGCAAATGTATTATTTCTTAAAATGCTGATTCCTTTAAAGTGGGAGAATTTCACTCAAAATCCATTATCAGCAGAGCCCAGTTTCAAATAACGTGAATAATGGTAATTCACCCGAAATTCCAAAAATAATATCTTTTGGCTATCTAGATAAACCTCACACCTACCATGAGACAGATACTAAAATGTTAAAAATGAAATATGAGCCCATAAAAAAATATATAAATAAAGGTTCACCCTTCTCTCCAACCACTGTTTTGATCAGTGCTGTTGCTTTGGCGACACTGTCTGAGTCCGAGACATCCAGATGGACGGCGGTCAGTCTGTCGGAGCAGGTCTTCTTCAGCTCATCCTCACCCTTCTCAGTGTAACAGCCTGCAATCACGTGGAAGCCCAGTTTGTCCAGGTGCCTCGCAAGGAGGTTACCAAAGCCGGAGTCACAGCCAGTGATGTAGACATGTTTGTCTCCCTGGTTGGAAACCCGTTTGGTTTCCTTGTACCAGCGATAGATGAACCACAGGGCCACCAGTCCGAGGACGTGCAGGAACATTTTTCTAAAGCAAAAAAGAAACCATTGAAGAACACAGACTGAATGTGCTCTGCTTTGAAATATGAGAAATAGTACATAATGCCAAAACCAAACTTCACCAGCCAAAACTCAGTTCAAATGACAAAAAGATTTTCAACCTCAGTACTGACTTTATGGAAGCATGTTACTTTATTACATTCGGACATTTCTGAAAAATGCCTTTAAAAGAAATTAGTCAATCTAAATAAATTACATGTGGCTGCAACTACCAATCAGAATTACTGACAGCAGTATTATTCAACTGATCACCAAGACCTATTTCAATTTATATTATTTTAAATATAGTTTTGTCTGATCAATAGTCCAAAGCCAACTGAATGAGAGACCATATGAAAACTAGCAAACATTCACATTTGAGAAGCTGGACCAATGAATCATATAGGAGTAATTGATTGTTCAAAGGGTCAGAAACCTTTTGTAAATGAGATTTCAGTTTTTGCTGTTTAAAATTTTGAAAAACATTTTTTAAAAGTGTTTTAAAAGTCTTTGCTGAGATTGATGATTATTGCTGTAGACCGACGGTCGTTGTCTCCATTTAAAAACCTTCTACAACACAATGAGTGCACAGACTGAGGGTTCACAGTAGTTTCTCTGAAGCCACTGTATTTATTTTACTGATTCTCATGATTTATGAACTGGAACTTGACAAATACAACATATATCGAATATACATGTGATGAAATGTGCTAGGCCTATATAAACACAAATTACCTTAATTTAATAGATTATCAAAAAAACTGTCGATTCCATCCATGTGCTGGTGTATCCCGTCCCAAGTTTATCGGTCATTACCACTGATCACCTATCAGTTTTACGGTTGTTTAACAAAGTCAGATTTGACCTTTTTTAAATTCCACCCGCTTTGTCCCAGTCTTGAACTAAAATAAAATGGCCAGGTGTCACTACTTTAACATTACCATCCATTTAAAAAGTTGTAATATTTCAACAAGAGGACGGAGACTAGCGGGAATGGACCCGACAAAACGAACCGGACGCTTCTTAAAAGTGCCAAAACAGTTACTTACATGTTCAAACACCAGACGCCACCGTTGACTGGGCCAGAAAAGAACGCATCTTCTTCTTCAGCTGTTTTTTTATATAGCTGGCAAACCAGCTATAGGTGCATTATCGCCACCTCCCAAACTGGAGTGTGGATCAGAACGGCCCCTACCTACCATCCATCCATTTTCTATACCGCTTAGCTCCAAACGGGGTGAAGGGGAGCCGGAGCCAATCCCAGCCAGCTGCGGGCGAGAGGCAGGGTATACCCGCGATAGTTCACCAGTCCATCGCAGGGCTGGCCCCTACCCACCACCACACCAAAATAACCCCACTCAGTTCACCTTATATTATCTTGTGCAACCCTGTGAACTCATCCCACCTGAGCACCTAAAAGACAGTTTGTCCGTTTAGCTGTCTACTTCCTTTAGCGCCTTCTTCCTGTAACTTCTGGAGGTGTGAGCTGCCCACTCTGCTTTTTTGTCCTCTCAAAAGAAAAAAATGTGTGAAGATAGTTTTCTTGTTCTTATTCTTATTCTTGTTCTTGTGTCGTATAATGGCACTTGGCAAACAGCTTTAGGTACACACCGCCATCTGCTGGAGACTAAGATAGATAGATAGATAGATAGATAGATAGATAGATAGATAGATAGATAGATATTTCTCTTTAATTTTACTAATTTACCAAGAGTTATTGTCAGATATTTGTTGAGGTATTTTGAGAAGACATTCCTTATTTCTTTTGTCATAGCCTATATTTACTAACATTTTTCTGTTACTCATTCTACTTATTTATTTATGGATGACATTTTTCTAATATTTTTCAGAGATGTTACTACTGATTATAGCCTATAATAACGGATTGCCTACCATATATTTTTCATGTAGGCTACAAGTGTTTCCTTCTTTCCTGTACAGTTTTACTTTTGTGACCATGTAAATACTCATACTCAAGTAGTATAGCCTATTAAAGCAAGTGTCATTCAACAAATCAAATATGCTTATACTTTAATACTTTTAATGTTCTTTTTGTTGTTGTTGTTGTTACAGTAATTTGTGACCAGTATGTTTTATTGCTGCTGTTGTTGTTGTTTTCAATTTCAATTACCTCAATAAAAATGCTTATATTTACATCTAGTCCTCCTCCTTTTCCCTCACTGAAATAAATCTAATCATTTTCATTCCAGAAGTTTAACTGCTGGACATAAGTGGCTTGCTAGTTCACTAAAAAGTCCATTCTCAGTGAATATGCACAGCCAGTTTCCAGTTTCCTCATTGCTGATTTATCCTCTTTTGCCTGCTGTGATGGAGATTATTCTCCATCTCATGTTTGTGATTGTGGAGCATTGACTTGCAGCTCTAGGCAGCCATGAGAGTCTGTCCTGGAAATGATGAAACAGAAATTAGCAGCTTGGTCAGCATTGAAAGCACGTATGCCAGCAGTCTGTTATGTGATGAGACACTATGAACTGCTAATACATTTGTCAGCTTCTTTTATTACTTACTTGTCCTCTTCGCCAAGCACCTGTGTCTTCTGTAAAAACCCAGAGCAACTTCTGCTTCCTGTCTGCTCCTAGTTTGAGCAGAAGAGGGAGGGGGATTGTGGTTATTTCATGGAAACAACACACAGTATTTAAAAACTATTGAATATTATCATTGTTTAATCATTTATGAAGCCAAATGTTTTATATGTATATATTAATTTAGTCAGTGTAGTGAACTCACCCAATGACTGTTTAGTCCAGCTAAACTGGTCACTGGGAGGGTATCTAAAGGGAGGTGGCTGGTTACTGTTATACTGTTTACACAGAAGGACTGAGCTAATCTCTGCCTCAGTCACCTCATTCACACAGATTTAAAGGTCAACATGACACCCCCCCCCCCCCCCTCCGTGTCAGTCATGTCAAAATGAGTCTGCCAGAGGGTTTATATGATGAGTTCAGTTGGTTTAGTTTTATTTCTACCTCCAGGTTCTTGTTTTATTCAAAATGGGCATCTTTGGTGTTACTGGGGTTTTACATTACCAGTCTTAACTGGGGCCACTCTTCCACTGTAGACCAAACATCCCGGCCTCTTAACTCTGGCAAAATGAACACAGAAATGTGTGATCTTTCACCGGCGCGGTTTTCTCCATTCTGAGTAACCTCACTTTGCGAGAGAGATCCAGCAGTGCAGTCAGTCTTTATCACAGTGCGTCTCTGAATATTAACCCCTCCTTCCTGTGATATTATCAATCAACTGTGTGGTGAATAATAACTGGCTGTAAAAACAGGAGCAAATTCCGAGGCCAGGCCCTCGGCTTTGTCCGAGGGGGCATTAACCCCCCGAACATCTGCTTGGTTACTATAATTAGGTCTTAATTTCCACTTATATATTTTTGTTTATTTTCACACCAACACTTATCCAGCTGTAAATTAGGGACACTCCACAATATTGGGTGGTTAAAAAGTTAAAAGGGGAGGCTTTTTGGTAGCCAAATAGTGTTACTAAATTTCACATTTTACAATTGCCACTTAATTTGTTCTTGAAGAAATAATGATATCATTAATCTATAATGACAGCATTCTAGCAGAGGTCATTGTGGAGGCAAATGTCTTGATTAAAAGTAATTAACTGCTAAATAAATACTAAATATATGGCTGCATTCAATATGCAATATATATATAGCATGTTTCTCTGTTTTGTGTTTTACTGTCACACTTGCAAGGATAGGTTTGTTTTGTCTAGCTACTCTTGGTTCACATTTGTTCTTGTTTTGATGGTATGTTGCCTTCGTACAGCTGCAGAGTACGGTGACTACACTTGTGATGCAATCAGAGATGCCTTAGAGGTCAGAATCTTAGAACAGATTAGATAGCAGGCGTTTAAAGTCTTACACTCAGAATTAAACACATTGTGCCTGTTTTAGACAGTGATCACATCTAGTAGAAGATTTCCATCCCCTACTCTGCAAGATTGTCTTTGCACTCTGCTATTTCTTTCTATGCCCTTTTTGCTGTGATTATAAAGGGAGTGTGTACTCTTCATTCTTTGTCATCTTGTCACTTGGTGATGACCTTTTATTTAACCCTTGCTTTAATAAATTTATAAAAGACAACTGAGCTTGTTGTTCATTTCTTACCATTTGTATTAGTTTTGCCCTACAGTCATGAGGTTAACACAGCCCTTATCAGCCTTAGATAATGGGAAAGGAGCGGCATAGGGTACTGAAAATAAGATAGGATAAGAGGTTTCTCTAGGGAGCCTCAGTGGTGCTGGTGGATTTCTAAAGCCACCAGAGATTGAGTGAACAGTCCAGGTAAAGTACACTTTGCTTTTCTTCCACGTTTTGCCAGAAGCCATTTCATTTAATATAATTATTTGCTGGTAATAGTATCATAAGATGATCAAAGCAGTGTGTTGCGGTAATATTTTGCCACATCTCACATGTTCTTGTTGAAAACTGAGAATCTTGAACAAATTTTCACATGGGCTAAACAAGGGTTCATTCCTTATTTTGAGAATTTACCAAAGCATAGTGCCTTATAAAACATCCAAATTATAATTTTGATGGTTTCTTTGATCCACAGGTACCAAGAGAGGACACGTCTGCCTGAGTCAGGGCATCAAACATGAAGAAATCAAATGATTTAGCAGCACAAGGTGCAGATAATGAAGGTAACTGATGTATTTTCTTTACAAAAAATTGACATAATAATATTAGAATTTTGAATAAAACCCTAAGCAGTTAAAACAACTCTAAATTTATTTTACCCTCTTTTCTAGCAGACACAGAAAATGGGTAAGTTTGTATTGCAAGATTGACATAAATCTTAATATATTTGGTTTTAGCCCAAATTTTGTTTGTTATAACAGCTGTTTGTTGGCTTTTCTTTAATTTATGATTTACAGTAATGAGAAGAAAAAGGAAATTCATAACCACTGTCATTATCTCACATTTCCAGTACACTGTAGTTTTTCCTATCTTTGATTTGATACTAAAGGGATAGTTTTACCTTTACTGTCTTGAAATAAAACTCGCACACCCATATGTATAATGAAATCATTTTTGCTTGAGGATCTGAGGACAGCTAGAGACTTGTCCTGAAGCCACACTGTTATCTTGGCTATGTGCTTCAGGTTATTGTCATGTTGAGAGGTGAACTGTTGCCCCAGCCTCAGGTCATGTGTTCTCTGGAACAAAGTTTCTTCAAGGATCTCTGTGTTTGACTTGCATTTGTCTTTCCCTCAATTCTGACCAGTCTCCCTGTCCCTGGTGCTGAGAAACATCCCCACAGAACAATGCCGCCACCACAATGCTTTATCATAGCGATGGCATTATAGCCAGACGATGAGCAGTGCCTGGTGTTCACCAGACATATAAAGTATACAGTCGAAGGAAAAAAAAAGCAATGGCACTGTTTGGCAATTTCCTGGTATTCTGACTAAATTGATCATGAAATGTGATCCAGTCTTTACCAGAGTCACAAATATCAACAAACACAATGTTTCTAAGCTGATAGAGCACAAACAGTCTTGATCTTACATATCTTTATTGAACACACCCATTAAACATACAAAGTGATGGTGGAAAAACCAGGAAACTTCAAATACTGCCATTACTTTTTTTGCAACTGTAAAGTTGTGCCCAAAAGGTTTAATTTTTTGTTTCATTCGACCAGTAGGTGTTTTACTCATTTACTCAGTTTTCACAAACAGACAACACTATGGGAAGAGCTTTGGGCACAGATGTAAAAAAAAAAAAAAAAAAAGGTTTGAAAGAAACTTTGTAACATAGAGCATTCATGACTACAACTCTATGAACGTATTAAGACAGAAGTGAACGTGCGCATTATTTTCGTCGCTATTTAAGACGCACGTACGCACGTTTCCATTTTATCTATGCATCTCAGTCGCAGTGGAATTTAACGCACGTCAAAGAGCTGATTTTCCACTCCCACCTTTATCCATAAATAGGCGTAGACACTACTTTAATCATTTGCATATAGACATTGTCTCTGAACCATAACATGACAATGAAAGCAATGCTAAAGAAGAACTATTTTCAATGAGTGTGAAATCACGACACTTGGAGAGATGGAGAAACGAAAAGATTATTTGTTTGTTTCTCACAAACAAAAAGAAAAACTGATGACTGGCAAAAAAATCCAACTATCAGTACCACCCGTTCAGAGCAGAGGACAGTGGCGGAGGTAGAAAAGAAATGGTCGCATTGTAAACCAGAGGCCGAAACCCGCGTGTGTATGCACAAAGAGAGCATGAGGACAACTGCTATACAATTATTTATCGCAGTTTTGGTCACGCAGCTTTACAGGGAATCAGAAGGACCCCGAAACATTCTTTCTCATCTTATAGCCGCATTGTCAAGATCCTACAGTAATGCCAGAACAGCCATCCTTACGCACGTCCATTACGCACAGCTACAGTATTTATAGAGCGTTGTAATCCAGTCACACACATGTAAAGTCTTATTGTTAGGCTAGTGATGTCTCAATCATCAGTTAATGAAAATGAATTAATAACAGTGATATCCGAGCTTTACTGAATAATTTCAGTCTAAAATGAAAAACAAGAAAATTGATGTCAAAGGCAAAAGAAATAAGAATAATAGGAAAAGGTGTAGACGCATCGTTTATGCATTTGTTGTAAACTTCTTCTATTTCATAGCTGATCCTGGGAACACTCGGAGCTTTAGATATGGTTTTATAGGTCATCCCTCACAGTTTTATCAAGAGGGTTACAAAAAAGTTTCTGGGACTTCATGGCTTGGTTATAGTCCTGACATACAATTGCGACACATTGTGGGTTGTTCATGGGACCTTATATACACACCTACACACCTGTCTTTTCTAAAATCCAACCAGCCAATTGATTTTGCCACATGTGGACTCTAATCAGACACATGAAGGATCATTAAAGCAAACAGAATGCACGTGACCACAGTTTGTGTCAGGGCCGCTCGGCGGCCGCTGCCTCTCCTCCATCTTTCTCTCCTCTGCTCGCTCCATAATTCAGCTGTGTTGCATTCCAGTAATTAGTAACTGGTTTGTCAATGCACACAGCTGGGGTGCATCCCGATGATTACCTTCTCCTCCTTATATAAACCTCTGGCAGACGCCCCGCTTTTTCCGGAACATTAAAATAGTAACGCGGACTGTACATGTTGGTAGAATGCTACGCTGACAGACACTGTGCGTTTTGGCTTGACTCTACCACACTACCTACGCGCTACGCTAATTTACATTACACTACATATCATACATATCCAAGTACCGTACCTTCCCATGTTATGTTCTTTTGATACTTCGTGTTCACTTTATTTACCTGCTAGTAGTGATTGGCAGATGAAGCTTCATGAAGCAATGAAGCCTTTCATCCAATTGGTTCACTCCAGCGCAAAGCTTCTTGAAGCTTCATTTGCTCTAGTAGGACATCTACTGGATGCAACAATATCAGTTGGCATGAATTTGAAGTGTGTGGCATTTTGCAGAAAGGCTGTGAATAAAACTGTCAGCAAAATAAAGAAGTATGCAAAACATGTATATTGTAGTGATGGCAGTATGCTGTGTGTATATATATATGTACTGGCAGTATGGAAAATGATTATTTGGAAATGCTGAAAATGGAAACGATTATTTATAGTGCGGTGAGGGTGGTTGGGGTTGGGGTATGGACAATGATTGTGCTTTTGTAACGTTGAGGTATGGCCAGTGATTATGGTTTAGGGGACACATCATTGGTTTTTATTTAAAAACAACAGTTTCTCCACTGTGGCAGGTCTTAGGCGATTTCTTTTTTCTCCATCAAACACCCACATTTTGAATGGAGCCTGAGGGGTTTATATCGCTGTCAAAACTCGCGGCAAAATCCGAACCACTTCCTGAATCAGTCACGTGGTACAGCCGGGCAGCGAGGCTTCGGACGTCATCATTTTCAGCTCCTCACCTGAATGACGCAAGCCTCGATACGCGCATCGCGGAAACGCCCCCTCCCCTACTCGGCACACGCGTGGAAGCCTTGATACAGAACGTCACATCACTACCTGCTACCGTCATGTTTTTCCCCCTAGCACCTGGGTCTGCAAACTTGAGTCCAACCTCAGCCCTCCCTCACCCCCCGGGTGAGGGGGGCTACCATAACACATATAGAGATGCAGTGATTATTTAAATACTATAATTAGTCAGCTGGCAGAAAATTAATCAGCAACAATTTAAAGAATAAATCAATCAATAAATTTGTCATTGCTTGCAACACAAAAAAGATATGCCATATATATATATATATGTATATATGTGTGTGATCCTTCACACAAAACAAAACATGACCACCACAGTGGGAGCATCACAGCAAAGGTCTCAACAATTTTGTAAATGAGAGATTTCACTTTCTGATTTTTAACAAATTTACAAAATATCCAAAACATGTTTTCTTTCTTTTTTTAAATTATGGGTTAACACAAAGTCTGCAAAAGGGGGAAAGGTCTTAATAATTTCATGAAGTCCCTGCATATTGTTAAAATAATTTAAACAAGAATCGACAAATTCCTTTTTGCAGTTTCGATTTGCCACCTGGAAAGACACTGTGATGATGGTAGTTGGGAGTTTGTGTGCCCTCATACACGGTGCAGCTTTACCTCTCATGCTACTGGTGTATAGTGAGATGACGAACACGTTTGTGGCTTATGAGTTAGAGATTCAAGAACTCAAGGACCCAGACAAGGAATGCAACAACAACACCATCTACTGGAGAAATGGCTCTATATATGAAACAGCTGCAAACAACACTGTATACTGCGGGTAAGCAGTTCATTTATTATTGATGGGATTGTTGTTATAGTGTGTCAGGGCTGTTGTCACCCTTGATACTCTCTTGGCAGGGTGGATATTGAAGCAGAGATGACCACATTTGCATATTACTATATTGGAATTGGATTAGGAGTTCTATTTGTTAGTTTTTTTCAAGTGAGTATTTTTGCTTTCCATGTTCAACTTTAATTGAACTTAACAAATTACAAGCATATGTCTTCTCAAAGAAATTATTTCCTACCACTATGCAGATTGACTTCTGGGTGTCAACAGCTGCAAGGCAGGTTCAGAGGATACGAAAGACTTATTTCAGAAAAATTATGCAAATGGAGATCGGATGGTTTGACTGCAACTCCACTGGTGAACTTAACACAAGGATGTCAGAGTGAGTTGGGGCTCTCTCTACAGATCTGTTATCTGTGCGTGGTTGGGTGAATGTTTCATACAGAGTAATGTTTCTGCTGTGTTTTGTTTCTTCTCAGTGACATTGACAAAATCAACAACGCCATTGGTGATCAGGTATCTTTCTTCATTGAGAGGATCTCCTCTTTTGTGTCTGGCTTCATAGTTGGATTCATTGGAGGATGGAAGCTGACTTTGGTGGTCATAGCAGTGAGCCCTCTGATTGGTCTAGGGGCTGGGCTGATGGCTATGGTAGGACTGTAGTTGTGAATCTATGATTCATCACTGCCACATAGAGTGCATGTACTGTATGTGCTATCATATTTTATCACGTTTTTGTATTCTTCTTCCTTGTTCCCGAAGGCTGTGGCCAGGCTGACGGGACAAGAGCTAAAGGCCTATGCAAAGGCAGGGGCAGTGGCTGATGAGGTCCTGTCATCCATCAGAACGGTAGCAGTGTTTGGTGGGGAACAAAAAGAAGCTGAGAGGTATTTCATCATTTTCTAAGATTATAACATATTCCCCCTTTGCAAATGATGATTAGCACAAACTCTCTGATTTGAAATAAGTGAAACATTTGGACAGGTATGACAGAAACCTTGTGGAAGCTCAGAACTGGGGAGTGAAAAAAGGTACCATCATAGGCATTTTTCAAGGATACCTGTGGTGCATAATATTCCTCTGTTATGCTTTGGCCTTTTGGTATGGATCTAAATTGGTCCTCGACACCAAGGAACTGTCTCCAGGTGGTCTTATTCAGGTATGTTTAATGAAATGCATTAATCTTCTGTTACTTTATATAATATAAACAGTTCAGTGACAGTTGTCTTATCACAAGGGGTTGTGATTGATTGCAGGTATTTTTTGGAGTTCTCATTGGAGCTATAAACCTGGGTCAGGCCTCACCCTGCTTGGAGGCCTTTGCTTCTGGTCGTGCTGCTGCAAAAGATATCTTTGACACAATTGATCGGGTAAAAACTCTTTGGTATTTAATATTTTATTACAAATATAGGCCAGATTGGAACCAATATATTTTAGAAGAAAGATTCTTCACCATAAAATAAAGTTCTTTCCTTTTGTGTTCACAGGAACCCAAAATTGATTGTTTCTCAGAAGAGGGTTACAAATTAGACAAAGTAAAAGGTGACATTCAGTTCCATAATGTCACTTTCTACTACCCTTCTCGACCTGAAGTCAAGGTAAATTTCTGTGCTTAGTAGTCTTTAATGCCATTGTTTCAGTTCTGGAAAAAAAACTAACTCACGACTAGTACTTCACCTTTTTCAGATTTTAAATGACCTCAGCATGCAAATCAAAGCAGGAGAAACCACTGCTTTTGTTGGACCAAGTGGATCTGGAAAAAGCACCACAATCCAGCTCATCCAGAGGCTTTATGACCCAAAAGAGGGAATGGTAACAATCTGAGCAACAACAGAGAGAAAGCATGACATCAATGGAATGCTGGAAGGCTTCAATGTAACATCACCTACACTGTAAAATTCCCATTTTCAGGTGACTTTGGATGGCCATGACATCCGTACTTTAAACATCCAGTGGCTCCGCTCTCTCATTGGTATTGTAGAACAGGAGCCTGTTCTGTTTGCTACAACCATTGCAGAAAACATTCGCTTTGGTCGACCTGGAGTCACCATGGAAGACATTATCCAGGCAACAAAAGAAGCCAACGCCTATAATTTTATTATGGATCTGCCACAGGTATTCCCATATTTAATGGCGATAGCTTTATAGTCAGATCTGAAACTATAACCTAACAAGTCAAAACTTAAATTATTCTCCAGAAATTTGATACTCTGGTGGGAGAGGGTGGAGGTCAGATGAGTGGAGGACAGAAACAGAGGATTGCTATTGCTCGTGCTCTTATCCGAAACCCCAAAATCCTGCTGCTGGACATGGCCACATCTGCATTAGACAATGAGAGTGAAGCTGTTGTCCAGGAAGCACTGGATAAGGTGAGGCACTTACTGACAGTACGCTACAATAGCACACATCCTGACTTTATTAACATGTGTATTTTGTGGGATGACACTCTATTAACTGGTTTATGTGCAGGTGCGCACAGGCAGGACAACAATATCAATAGCTCATCGTCTTTCAACAATTAGAAATGCAGATGTCATCATTGGTTTTGAGCACGGACAGGCCGTGGAGAAGGGCTCACACACAGAGCTGCTAGAAAGACAAGGCGTCTATTTCACTCTGGTCACCCTGCAAAACCAAGGCACATCCAACACAGCTAATGGTAAGATTTATGTGGAGTAGGGCTGCATCTAATGATTATTGTCATTATCAGTTCATCTGTCGATTATTATCTTCAAAGCACTGAGCAGGAGGACACAGGACAATCCTATAGTGTTTCTGAAGGTCCTTCTGTTTTCTGTTAAAGACCACTGGAAGCTGATTTCTTATTTATTTCTGCTAGATGAAGCCACTGAAGCTTGTGAAGAGGACTTCAATGTGAATGTGGGGAATTTTAGCCATGGAAGCCACAGGTTTAGTAACAGTATAAGATCATACCAGGGGAAAAAAGTAAAATAAGGTCATCATAGCATCATAAAATAATTTTATCTTCTCATTATTATTTGTTTAGGAGCTCTGCTCGACTACGATCCGAGAGCAAATTGTCAAATAATTTTTTCCTTGATGCGTTACAAGATAGCATCACAATCCCTTTGGACAAGGAGCTCACACCAGAAAATGTACTTCCCTTTTAAGCTTTGGTATACGTTAACTATTACAAACTGTCTTGTGGAAATTAATTAGCCATAACACATATTTTTGACAGAAATGTGGAGATGATGAAGATGTTGAACCTGCCCCAGTAGCACGTATCCTTAAGTACAACCAACCCGAGTGGCCCTACATGCTGCTGGGCTCACTGGGAGCTGCTATCAATGGATCTGTCAATCCTATCTATGCTCTCCTGTTCAGCCAAATTCTAGGGGTAAGGGATGGTCTTATGTGCTTATGACATATATATGCACTGTGTTACTAGCTTAGGGCATTTGTTTAACAATATGCATGATCTTTGTTTTTGCAGACTTTTGCCATTGATGATTTGGACAACCAAAGGGATCAGATCAACGGGATATGTGTTCTGTTTTGCATAGTGGCTGTCACTAGTTTCATTTCCCAGTTTTTACAGGTTTGCATCATTTACAACATAAATGAGACATTTAGAGTGTACATCAAGCAGAAAAGAATAAGATTGGATTCACATACTGTATACATTGGCTCTGATTTTATGTTCCAGGGATATGCTTTTGCTATGTCTGGAGAGCTGCTGACCCGCCGTTTGAGGAAAGTGGGCTTCCAGGCAATGCTGAAGCAGGAGATTGGCTGGTTTGATGACCCCAGCAACAGCCCAGGAGCTCTGACCACCAGGCTGGCCACTGATGCTTCCATGATCCGGGGAGTAAGTAACAAAATAACAGGTCTGTAGTTCTGTTTCACAGTTTTGGAATGGTTATTTTATATGTGGTTGGCATGATTTTTTTCAGGCAACCGGTTCACAGATTGGCATGGTTGTTAACTCGCTGACCAACATCGGAGCCTCTTTCATCATTGCCTTCTACTTCAGTTGGAAGTTAACTTTGGTAATCATGTGTTTCTTGCCACTCATTGGGCTGTCTGGGGTATTTCAAGCCAAAATGCTGACAGGTTTTGCAAATGAAGATAAAAAATCCATGGAAGCAGCAGGTCAGGTAAGCTCCCTGCAGTCTTAATATGATAGCAAATCATTTGCCATTAAGGCCCTTTTATACAGTATGTATTAATTTCTCTTTAAAGTCACAGATCTGCACTCTGTCCCTCAGGTATCCAGTGAGGCTCTTACCAATATCAGGACAATTGCAGGCTTGGCCAAAGAGAGTTCATTTGTGGAATCATATGAGCAAAAACTTGAACTTCCATATAAATATGGCAAGAAGAGAGCCAAAATCTATGGCCTATGTTTTGGCTTTGCGCAGTGTGTCATCTTCATGGCATATGCTGCTTCATTTAGATATGGAGGACACCTGGTTAGCTCTGAGGGGTTACATTACATGTTCGTTTTCAGGTTAGTAAAACTCTTGTGTTTACATAGGAAATCAGCAATGTTCATCTCCTGCAATGAAATTTATTTAATGTTTTGTGGGGAAAAATGACCTAACATCAATCCAGCACTCATGTTGTTCCTCCAGAGTGATTTCAGCTATAGTAACCAGTGGGACAGCACTGGGCAAAGCTTCCTCCTTCACTCCAGATTACGCCAAAGCCAAGACTGCTGCTGCTCAGTTTTTCAAACTGTTAGACCGAGTTCCTAAAATCAGCATAAATCCCAGCGATGGAGAAAAATGGGTTAGTGAATAGGATGGATAATAAGATGTTATTTTCTCATGATGCTACTTTGAAATGATCATGCCTATCTATCTGTTTGTCCATCTTTAGGATAAGTTCTGGGGTGAAATTGAGTTTCTCAATTGCAAGTTCACATATCCGACACGACCAGATATCCAGGTACTAAAAGGTCTGGTTGTGTCTGTGAAGCCTGGTCAGACTTTGGCCTTTGTTGGGAGTAGCGGCTGTGGGAAAAGCACCAGTGTTCAACTGTTGGAAAGGTTTTATGACCCGGATGAAGGCCAAGTGGTGTGTAGATTGATGTAGACATTCATTTCACTTAACACCAAATCCTTTCCAAAGTCATTAATACTGTGTTAATTATGTCATCTTTTACTTTCAGTTGATTGATGGTTACCCAACTCATACAGTCAATATACCCTTTCTAAGATCTCATATTGGCATAGTTTCCCAGGAACCAGTGTTGTTTGACTGCAGTATAGCTGAAAACATACAGTATGGAGATAACACACGCAGCATTAGCATGGAGGAGATTGTAGAGGCTGCTAAGAAATCCTACCTTCATGACTTTGTGATGACTCTACCAGATGTGAGTGGAAACTTTTTATTGAATGATGCAACTTTACATGCATTGCCTTTGAACTCCTTGTAATTAATCTGCAAAGTCACTCTCTTGTTAATATGAACAATGTGTAGATAGATCTCACACAATTTAAGTATTGTACCTTTGGTGGAAGCAAATCTGACTGATATAGATACTATAAATAATACCAGTTTACTTTTAGACAAAAATAAACTAGCAGGGATGTTGCAGAGTTTAGAGATCATTATAGGTTCTGAAAAGTATAAAACAATCTCACCACAAGATCCATTTAAGTAGCTCTTCTGGAGCTTTTGAATGTGTCATACAATCGTCTTCAACAGAGTCTGCAGTTGTCAAGTTATGTAATTTTTAAACCAACATGAGAAGCAATGATTGAAAGCTCCTGACCAGCTACTAAACTAGCCATCCTGCGGTGAGATTGTTTTGTCAGCTACTATTTCCAGAGCCAAAGATGGCATTTGAATTTGTACTGTCAGCTGAGATGCACTGTATATGCATCCCAGTATATGGAGAGATACGTTGTTAATATTGTAAACATTTTAAGTATCTTATTACGGTAATACAAGCTTATCACCACAATAAGATGCTTTATATACATCACAGTGGCTGACTTTGTGACCTTTTGGTTTCTCCACTTCTCTCAATAATTTACAAATTGTAAGAAATATGAGACTCAGGTTGGTGCTCAAGGTGCCCAGCTGTCAAGAGGTCAAAAACAACGCATTGCCATTGCCCGGGCCATTGTCAGGAACCCCAGAATCCTGCTCCTAGATGAGGCTACCTCCGCCCTGGACACCGAGAGTGAAAAGGTATTCAGCGATCCATTTTTAAACATCATACAACCACACAGGTATTACCTGTGCATACAGTCGGTGTTTTAATGATGGTTTCATATAGTGTTTTACATCCTGTAAATGATACACTATGATGACTTCCTGATGATGCTTTGTTCTCCTGCAGACTGTCCAGACTGCACTGGATGAGGCAAGGAAAGGACGAACCTGCATCGTCATTGCTCATCGGCTGTCTACTATCCAGACTGCTGATGTCATCGCAGTGATGTCTCATGGAGCTGTCATAGAACAAGGCACACATGATGAACTCATGAGCAAGAAGGGAGCCTATTACAAACTTTTCACAACTGGTGCTCCTATCAGCTAGGCAACTGCAGCCACATATGGTGACCATATGATGAAAATTATTTTTGTTTAGGCCTAATTGTACAGTGGAATTAATGTAATGTCATGTTGTAGTATCACAATGAGAAAGTCTAAAGAAGTACTGATATTAGATTTATGCAGGGATTTACATAAACCATAAGGACAGATATGGTGTATATAGTTTACAGATAGCACAAATTGTATTCATCTTCAGGTTTGAAGAATCAGTTTTAATAACTGTGTTTTATTATTAACTTTGGGGATAAAACTAATAATAAAATTAAAATAAATGAAATGGTAAACAGTTTTTAAAAGTTTCATTTGCATTGTTGGACTGTAGCCTAATTAATATTTTGACATTCTTTTTGTAGTGTCTTGAGTATTTTAATTAATGATATAAAGGCCTAGTAGTATTGTTGCATTTGTATTTGGAAAAACCCCAGCCGTATTCTCCTGGGGCCATTCTGTGTAGAGTTTGCATGGGTTTCCTTCTAGGTAGCTCCTCAAATCCAGACACTGAAGTTTAGATCATCTGGTGACTTGAAATTGCTGGTAGGTGTGAATATAACCAAAGTGGTCATCTGTCTCTATGTGTTGGCCCTGTGATAGACTGGTGACCAAGAAATAAAATAATGTGCTCCTTAGTAATGAGAGCTCAGTGACTTTAATAGGCAGCGTGTTGTTTACAACCAGATTGTGAAGCCATTAAATGTTTTACAGACCAGCTGCTTTTACAGCAGCGTAAATAGCAGCCATTGTAGCAGAAGCACTGAAGGAGACCTTGTCCTGCCCTCTGGATAATTTCAGCCTCATTAATATTTTCATTCTCTGTAAAAGTAGCAGCAAAATGTACGTTCCCCAATTGGAGAAAGTACATCCCTGTCTGGCTGGAAGTTTTGGACCATAAACTTGAACTTCCTAGGATTCACCACAGGGTGGCATAAAGACCGGTAATATTTACACTGTGGGGAGCATGTGGGAAGGCTTCTGGGTTGCATTTTAACGATTAGCCGCAAATAACCTAAAACAGTACACTATTTAATGTTTAAGGAGCAGCGTGCTACCCCTTAAACTCACTATGACAGCAGATTTAAATTAGCCGACTTGTGAGCGGAAGACAAACAGTAATACGTCATTTCCGGTGTTCAGTCTCCGCCTGTTGTGTTCAGGCCGCGGCTTTTTGAAAATAACGACAGCTTCAGTAGTAAGACGTCAGTCAAAAGGAGACATTGTGGTATTAAAACGCGTGAGTGTTGTATTCAGATGATAAATGCATGAATTTTATCTAATGCCAGGCTGTAAACTGATAGGTGGTTTTATTACCTAAGTAACGTGAACTTCGGGGAATTACGGCTAATTACCCGTTAGTGTTTTGTAGCTAACGCTAACGTAGCGTTAATTAGATAGTGCCAGATGAAGCTGACCGCTCACATCGATAATTAGTGTTTCGGTTACTCGTTAATGTTTTAAAAGCCCATTGCTGCCCCGTTTGTGACCTCGGCACCCCGTAACGTTACCGTATCATGTAACTAATTAACGATCATTTACAAACCTGCCACTTTTCTGGTAGCAACAATCGACGCTTAGCAGCAAGTTGTTTGCAGGCAGGCAAAATACACTGGATATATATGTATGTAGTTGTTTGTGTCCTTTGTTTTTAACCAGGCGATATCTCAAGAGACCTGACCAAGACAGCAGCAACAACAAAGTTACAAAACATAAACCACTTTCACACAAATCACACAACTTATTAAAAACATTCTAAAAGGTTCACATTTTTTTACTAAGTTGTCAGCATGAGGTTTAAAAGAAAGGTAATTATCAATTCATACTCCAAGGTACTTGAAAGAAGAAACAATTTCACTTATTTGTCATTTAGATGTTAAGAGCCGCTGCTGATTCATAACCTTAACTTTATTTTTTGTAAACAAAATATTATATAGGTTTTGTCAGCATTTAATACCAGCCTCAATTCACTGAACTCACACTGCAAATAATTAAATGCTTCTTGAAGCTTCTCCAGAGTCCTCTATTCATAGTGTAAAATTAAATGTGTAAATGTTGTGAGTGCACATGATGAGAATTGTGCTGTCTGTTTTATCACAGGTTGTCTGACGTCGGTTCATCATGGCATCCATCACTGACCCAAACATTAGTGTCAAGTTCACCAGTGTAATGGAGGAGATTCACAACAAAACACTTAAATCATATGGGGAGATAATGGATATGACTACAGAGCTGTGCCAGTCCCACAGGCAGTTTTTGAAGCCTGCACTTGGTATGCTTTGTGTTCATATATTTCAGAGTCATTTTTAATACTTGTCAACTAGTATTGTTCACAGTTACAGAGAGGAGGGCAGACAAGCAACCCTCTTAATCACTGTAAAGCATGGCTGGAAGTGGTCAAGTGCTTTCGTGAAGCAGGAGTAATACCACTGTGTGAACAAGTGTAAGCCCTTGTGTTTTTTAAAAATTGGATTTAAGATGGCTAAGTGTTAGTATTACCTCTTCAAAAGGAATCTTGCCCAAGTTTCTGATTAATATAGAAAACAACTAGTCAAAGAACTGCGACAATGATACTGACTCAGCAAGTCAGGGGTGATGGTCATAAATATACAGTTATTTTAGTTAACAGAAGAGTTATGCAACATCTGGCTGAGTTGAATAGTTATTTATTGATATTTTGTTGCAGATACATGTTTGAAGAAATGTAAAGACGATGAGGTGCTCTTTGAGACAATACACACATTCAAAATAGGTGAGTTTGTTGCATTAGGCCGCAGAGCGTTGCATCTGTGCCTTGTGTGTTCCATACATTCAGTTGTAGCTGTGTGTTTGTTTACAAAATCATTGAAGTTAGTGGTATTGGCTTCACACCATCTGCATGTTTGTTCCTTATTTTCTGACACACTGTAGGTCCATACTTGTTTTGTGAAAAAAAAGGCTGTAATGCAGTTCCTCTGATTTAGGTGTTTATGTGAAGGACATGGACTGACACATTGTTTGTCTTGCAGACTTGGAACAAAAAAATGCATCCTTGAAAGAGAAACACAATGGCATTTCTGATGTAATATCTGAGATTCAGCAGAAGGAGATGCAGAAAGATGAGCTTATCCAGAAGATAGAGAAACTTAAAGAAGAACAAGCCAAGAGAAAAGAGTGTAAGTTGATATTTGAAAATAAATTAAATGGTGTGGTTCACAGAACCTAAGTTGTAGCATATGGCTGTATTAGTGATTGATCCCAGTACTGACTTTCTCCCCCTTTTCAGTAATTGAATCCCAAAATAAAGCAAACAAAGACAGACTGAAGAATCTCCAGAAAGCCAGATTGGTCTTTCAGGATCACTTGGGGATGGAGATACGATCAGTCCACTGCAAAACAGAGCAGGTTAAAGGTATATCAAACACTAACATGCTCATATCGGTGTTCAGTACCTTTCTTGAGTCCTGTTTCTACTTTCCATTGCACCTTTTATACATTAGTAGCAATTAATTTGGAAATTTTGGGACTTGCACTTTTGTACAGCTCAGAGAATTTTCTGCTTGAGTGTTCCACTCATGAAATTTGAGAACTCTGACTAATAAGGAATATCCTCATATCCTGATTGGATTGTCTCCTTGTGTTACTTTTACAGTTTTTCTCAAATGCTAAAACACATTTCACAAACGTTTCCTCCATGTTCCCCAATGTCTAAACACAACACCCTTTTCTAAAGCTACATAAACACAACCACACCTTCTCACTTCAAAACTCAAACTTTCACACCAAAAGAGCAGCTTGAAGCTTTCAAAAATGTAAACACTATACACATCATTACACACCACAGCAAAACAAATGAAAACACAATGCTCAATTTGTGAGAAGGTTCTTTGTTTCATAACTGCCAATGCATATTTTTGAAACTTTACAGTAATGGATGTTCTTAAATCTCTGCAGAGGATTAGGCATTTAGATTTGAGAGTTTCATATGAAGAGTATAAATCTATAGTAAATTCTGCATGTACACTAGTGTAACACAACTCAATGCAAAAACAGAATCTATTGCACACAACAGTACTCTTGAAAACATGATCAGGGTGTGAAGTTTTTTTATTTACTTTATTCACACCACACACACACACCACAATCACTGTGCGGCATCATGTCGCTGAGCTGCATCGGGCCACATCACCTCATCCACATCGCAGGCTATATTGTCTCTTGCCAGGCACCGCGGGAAAAACGCCCTGGAATGGCGAATCCATCCTTGGAAGGCCTCCACTGGGATGTCAACACAGGCCAGCTCCATTGCCCTTAGGAGGTTCTCTCTAGTGTATTGTTGTCTGTCATAAACCTTCCATCTCCATGATGAGAAGAACTCCTCTATAGGGTTCAGGAAAGGGGAGTAGGGTGGCAGACAGACGTTTAAAAAGTGGTTACTGTTGGTGGTGAACCACTCTCTGATTTGGTTTGTTTTGTGGAAGCGTACATTGTCCCAAATGATCACATAAATTTGATGTGCGGGCCCAGGATGGTGTTGTTGGCGGTCCAGGAGGATGTCTTTTAGCTCCTCTAGGAAGGTGAGGAGACGTTGGGTGTTGTAAGACCCAAGGACAGCATGCCGGTGGACAAGCCCCTCCAAACCCATGGCCGCACAAAAGGTAATATTACCCCCCCGTTGGCCAGGAACCTCAGTGATGGCTCTTTGGCCAATGATGTTACGGCCTCTTTGCCTTCGTTTCTGCAGGT